GGGTTACTTTGTTCCATCTGGTTTAAACAAGTTTCCCGTCGTTGTACTTAGACTGTTCTTTCGGAAACTTTACATTATCACAGAACCATTTGTTCTTACCTGTAACAGTACATAACGTCCATATTGTTCTACTCTCCATGACTTTCGATTGGTATGCTCCTTTCATAAATTTGTTGAGAAACAAGTCACGTTTTACCCGATTCTCTCCACAACTTAAAGATAGTGTATTCTCCTAATTTGAAGCGTCTATCAAAAATATTCAACAAGTCTTTGCAATGCTACCGCAAAAAATGACAACATACTAAGATACACTGAATTTACTGTCAAATGTTTGAAATCAAGCAGTAGGAAACACTAAACTTAGATTTCTTGCACATTTACAACTTCAAGAAAAACCGTGCTGTCCACGAGATTTGATCAGTAACTTAGTCAGAATTCACTAGTGATTGATTTCAAGCCCCAGGGACCCTTAAATGACTAAATTATGTAAGCAAGTTAGTTATCAAACCGTTAGTGACTAGACATATACATATACCAAACTGGGAGCAGACAACACAGGAAGAGAACCAATCATATATTGGGAGGCACTTGGTGAAATGAATGAGAATGGAGAACTGTTTGAAGACTTCTGCGCACTCAAAGATTTGGTGATTGGAGGCACACGGATATTCACAAGGCGGCAACATGGATTTCACCAGACACCAGGATATACTGGAAATCAGATCGACTTCATCTCAGTGTGAAGAAAGTGGAGACACAGCCTACTGGACACAAAACCAAGAAGGAGAGCAGATGTAGGTGGGCCACACCGCTCAGTATTTAGTGCAAGGAACCTCCCAAAATAAAGTTGAAAGCCTTCAAGGAAGTTGATGATAGGCCACAGTTCAAGTTGAACACCCAAAACAGAAACTGAACTAAAGGACGAAACTACAAGGGACATCTTCACTTCAGCCAGCCATCAGGAAAAAATGGGAGATATCCAGCAACATCCCTGAAGAAACCTCCATGGAAGAACACTGGGACTCTTTGAAAGCTATGTGAAAAGAAACCTTCATAACCGTATTAGGAAGGAAGAAGAATAGGCTAGACAAGGAATGGATCACAACGGACAAATGGAAGCTGATAGAGGAGGGAGAGAGATAGTGAAGCAGAAGACAAACCAGTGCAAGGATGAGCAACGACAAGAAGAACTAAGTACAACATATAAAACACCACACTGGACAAAGAAGTGAAGAGGAGTGCAAGCAAAGACAAAAGACACCTCTACGACACATCGGTGAGTGAAACCTAACAGACTGCAGTTAGGACAGACCTGACAACATTATATCAAATAACCAGGTTACTTACTGTCTAGGAAGAGATCAACGCAGATGAGACCAATGAAAGATAGTGAAGGAGACTCAGTTACCATAGAGAAGAAACAAGGGGAACAATGGGCTGACCACTTCAAAAAACTCTTGAATCGACCACCGCCACTAGAAATACCACCAGCAGCCCAGCCATAGAATTACCAGTGAAAACAAGCCCTCCGACAAAAGCAGAAGTGGAGTCCTGAACGTCATAAAGTTGCCGAAATTCGGGAAAGCAGTATGACGAGATGACATCTCACCAGAAGCACTAAAAACAGAAGCAGAGACAACAGCGGACATGCTCGCACCATTACTCCAGAGGATTTGGAGGGAAAGAAGAAAAAGTAGCTACCGATTGGAAGAGGGGCCATCTTGTCAAACTCCCGAATAAGGGCGACCTAAGTCTTTGCAAAAACTGGTGAGGAATCACGCTTCTTTCCCTCCCTACCACAAGCAAAATATTAAGCAGCATCATAGACGATAGACTAAAAGATGCGCTGGATTCAAAGTTACGACCGGAACAGGCTGGATTCAGAAAGTACAAATTATGTGCGGATCAAATAGCAACGCTACATTACGATACGCATCATCATAAAACGGAGCACAGAATGGCAATCAACTCTCTACCTCAACTTCATCGACTTTGAAAAGGCCATCGATAGCCTCGACCGAGAAGTCATTTAAAAACTGCTTCAACACTACGGACTACCATAAACCTTTATCAACCTCATTCAGCAGCTATATGAAGACCCCACATGCCGAGTGGTTCACAATGGAAAACTCAGTGACTCCTTTGAAGTTAAGACAGGAGTAAGACAAGGCTGTCGCCTACTATCATCAATGATCTTCCTGATTGTAGTCGACTGGACTGGACCATGCAACAGACAACTGTGAGGAGCAAGAAGAGGGGCACATGCTGTTTGACCGATGAAAAGAGCCTAGAAGATTTGTATTTCGCCACGATGATGATTTATGTCTAATTTCTTGTCGCACAAACCTGAAGATCTACAGCAGAAAACTAACGAATTGGCAGAAGAGGCAGGGCAGAGAAGACGGGACTTCCTTCAGGTGAACGTAGAAAAAACGGAGGTGATGGAGATATATAACCAACGAAAACATCAACAACAAGCACCATTCACCATCAACGGGGGAAATCTAAAGGAAGCAGTCTTTTGCCTGCCGGCCTAGGCAGCATCGTTTCAACTACAGGTGGCGGTGGCACAGATGAGGACGCTAATGCCTCAAGTCAGTGTTTCTATATGGTTCAGAGACTTGGAGCGTTACGAAAAGCATTTCCAACAAACTACAGACATTCATCAACAGCTGCCCCCTACGCTCACTCGATACTGAAGATCAGATGGCAACAAAGAATAAGAAACAAGGAACCCTGGCAACGAATCATCCAAGAACCTATCGCCCAACAAATATGTAGAAGAAAGTGGAGATGTATTGGGTATACACTGAGAAGACCATTCGGGGACATCACACGCCAGGCCCTCGAGTGGAATCCAAAGAGGAGACGATGAGTTGGTCGTCCGAGGGTGAGATGGAGGAGATCATGTGAGGAAGGAATGAAAGCTTCTGGGAAGTCGTGGAGCCAGATTTAAAAGACTACAGAGAAAAGAGAGTAATGAAGACGTGCTACTCAAGCCCTATGTCCCACTTGGAACCCAAGGGAAAAATAATAATAATGATTATTATCATTATTATTTTATATATATATATATATATATATATATATATATATATATATGTACATAAAGACACACCTAAATCTTGTCTGACGCTGGTGAAGACCACCTTTTCTAAGCGCTTATAAAGTATTGACATTAGCTACAGCGTTACTAAGGAAAACATGAAGAACTGTATGGCTGTTTCGACCTGCGTTGGGACTCTTCAGTAATGCATATCCACGATGCCATGATACATTGAGCCTAGGGATGCCAGATTCTTCATGTTAACTCATTCATGTTTCCAAAGTCCGTCAATTTTTAATGAAACATGATTATCATTTAGTGTAACCTGCGAGTGAACGTCATAATATCTGGCTTGATTGGCGTCACAAGTCATCACTTTTCACTAGAACATCGAGAAATCAATTTCCAGGTAAGTTGATAATGACCACCAGATCGCTTTTTAATTAGGTTTGTGAGGAATACACCGGTTTCCAAGTAATATTCAGCATTAATCCATTCTTCACAACCCTTTCAATCGAAAGATACATGTTGTTATCACATAAATAAAGGAGTTTGGGTATTCATAAAATGTGCAGTGATTCGATACATTTTCCAGTGTTTACCGCCAGCTCAACATAATCTGTTGGAAATGACACTCTCAGTTGTCCAAATTTACTCGACAGTCAAAATCATAGTTTAATAGCCTTGATTAAGCCCTATGGTGATGACAACATTAATAACAGTAGTGATGATAATAGCAATAATAATACTTATGTTTATTTATTCATTTATTTACAACTTCTTGTTCTGGTCTACTGATAGTAATTATAACCATCACGATTATGAACGATAATGAGAAAAGAGTGAAAGGGGGAAGGATTACAATATTGATAACAATAATAAAATATAAATCGAAGATGAAAGTTTTCAATCCTAAAGGCTGTATCAGCATAAATTGGAAAGACCTGATTAGTAAGAGTTATGTAATAGACCGACAATACACAAAACATCTTATCATTCACAACATTCCTTCACACGCGCACACACAAGTGATGATATAATTTACATGACACCTTGTGTTATAAAATGTGAATTGTTGTTTCTGATTCATATCGTATCTGACTGATTAATTCGCTCAGATACACCACCCCAACGTATGCGAAACCGCTTATCCCTCCATCTTACTTCACGAAAACATGCTGCGGTTAAATGCAGTGGAAACGCTAGTATTTCAGAAAATAGCCAAGCTATAAGATACTCTAATTTCGTAATACATATTGGAGTCTCTGGTGGGTAAATTTGACGCAACAATAAATAATCTAATAAGAACCAAATAAGGATGTAACACAGAAAATATACACCTGGATCAATGAAATTCGGAAAAAATAAGCAAAGGAAAACGCTCCCAATAAGGCATTTACTAGACATCTTGTAAATGGTTCAAATATGAAAGCCAACAATACCATACTCATTCGTAACTGTGACCAACGTAATATTCTCATGTAAAATTGATATAAACACGGAGATGGAGAATTTTGCCAAGCTGGTTGATGCGATAAAGATATTTTCCAACCACGATTACTGATATACTTTGAAATGAAATAATCTTCAGCAAGGTAACAGCCAAATTGTTTAAAACCATCAGAATCACCTAACGCACACTTACGTAAAAGACATGACATACCAGTTACACAGTTCATGTTAAGAAATGAGGCAACCAAGTAGATTTTTGCATGCCAACATGAAAAGAAAACTAACTGTACAACCCATGTGAATGATGGTTGTTCAGAGATTGTAGGTATATGTTCAAAATGTGCCGGTGTTGCTCTATTCCTTGTTGTTATTTCATACGCACCATCGCTAACATCATTATAACTGACATGTTTACGATATTGTTGGGCAGATAAAATATCCCTGTCCTGTTCTGTAGATGATAGTATTCCATTGTATGGTTTCATATAAGGCACTTGGTGGACTAGACCAATTTTGGATCCACTTCTAATGACGATACCATATCGGTCAGCGTATCTGAACGCATCCATAAACCTGAATCGGATATCAACAGTAATGAATACTTTGAAGCTTCATAACCAGCTTGTAAATTAATAATCTTTGGATTGATACCAAACATATCTTTAGCTAAAATGAGTTGTGCATCAATATGTGGATACTGTGTTATCAATTTTTCGACAATTTCACAAGCTGGATCGTCTTTGTCTGATATACAAAATAATAATTCATATGTAGGATAATCCAATTGAAAAAATGATAATAAATTCATTTCTAGATTCGGATCTTTACCAGATAAAGGTTTCAAGATTGTGACACCGGGCCAAAGTACTTCAGACTTCAAATCAATCATTACATTAGTATTCTTGTTGTGGTTATTTTTATTATCATTACTACTTAATATGTGATTAATGCTACTATCTGACGGCAGCGGAATGTGTGTACTCTGAGAGGTAGTATTCGTAACCGTAGGCGTTGTTTTTGCTACCTTTGTTACTGTTGTTGTCGTTTTGTTACTCTTGCATTTATCGCACAATAATAAGCATTGTATACAGGAAACAACTTGTGAAATAATAGATGATAAGGGCCATTTACAAACTATGGAATATAGTCGATGTATACATCGACGGTATAATGGATATTTATATACTTTCTGTAAGTTTACTGGATAAGGCACTTGATATAGATGTCTTCTACCATACAATATAGCGCATACATGTCCAAGAAAAAGAAGAACATTTGAAAATACACCGCCAACACATACTAACCAGACCAAAATCTCTATGAAAAATGAATTTGAAGAATAAAGACCAGCATAGTAGATGTAACCATAATTTGATATTCGTGTTGTTAAATTAAGTCGATGGAATTCATTGAAGAAATGAACTGGATCCATGAATAGTAGTTTTTAGAGAATGAAATGATTGTCACTTGAAAGACACTTTGCTTTATTCCACATTACACAGCTGACAAATAATAGCTGCACTGCTTCTGTCAATTTGAAGAGCCCTGCTAGAATTAATGGTTGGTTATAAGATAATTTTCAGAAAAAATGATCAGCCTCATTTTATTCCGGATTATCTAAAATAAATAAGGAACGATGATGATAAACTAAGACAGAAGAGTTTAGTTTTATAAATTAGTAACAAAAACCATGCAAAACAACAAATGTAACTTACTCGTTAAGTAGATGTTAGTGAAAGATTATTGACATATGCTGAGACGGATGGGATGTGTTAGATACGTTAACCTAATGTGAGATTAGGTTGAGGAAGGATGAGGGTGGTCAGATCAAGATCTGGTATAATTTAGCAATACTACTGGCCGCTGCTGTGAATTATGTAGGAAGGTGTAGAAATCCCGACTAGGGTCGTTAAGATTGACAAAATAATTGGTGTAAGACTTCAGATAGAGCCAAAAACTGATTCCAGTCACTCAGATGTATCCACGTCAAATATTCCTATGAAAATCATACTGTCGCATACATCCATTCTCTCTAGTATCTTTTTCTTCCGTCGAATAACTTTTTCTGCATTCTCTTGTGTGATTGTTTTCATTCCTTTGTCTTTGATTCTTTTCAACTTTTCTTTGAAGAGGTACCAGAAAACATGACAATTGAGATGACACGTTATTCGGTTACGTTCTAGGTTGTTTCTGTCAGTAGATGATCATTTTTTAAGTGAATATTTGAGATGCAACAACTTCTTTCTTAAAAATTACCACTTCTGTCAGGACAACAAGTAACAACTGAACTATTTTTGAAAGATCATGAGAACTAAACCTACTGATTATAGAAAAATATGCCACTCGCTTATAAACTGAGGAATGGTAAGTAGTTTTGGAAGTTGGTAGAACAAATACAGAAAATTGAAGGCTGTAACCAGCTGATCTTTTTTAAGTGTGTGCGACTTAACCACACCTATTGTAGGTGTGGTTATACATGTGGAGATTTTATGTAACTTTTTGTTGTTGACAGGAAACTCAATCAGTACAACCCATCGATAAAACCAAAGTAAATAGGTTTTAAGGTCAGAGAATGCTATTTAACCCTATCCAACTGTCTTTCAGTATTGAGTTACTAATAGCCTTTTCTTACATCAGTGTAATTAATTACACATACACATATTTACTGAAGACTAAAAACAAAAACAAAACGGAAAAACTATCGACGCAAGAATGAGGAAGGAGATATGCACACAGTACAAACAAATTATGAAAAATTATCGATTCACTTTCCTTTCTAGTTAATCCTGAACCAGTGTCACAGAGAAACGCAGTGTTCCTGAGATATATATAAATCTGTATATTGGCTATTGAGATGATAATCAATACATCAAACATGATGAAAACTAATGAATGCAAGTCCCACTGATATAAAAACAGTGCGAGGTACCCAAGTATTAGAATGAAGTATCTTATGCTAACCTGCACATATTTTATCCTGTTGGTGATATTCTTGTCAAACTACTGGGATGCGGCCGAAGATTTCAATGAGCGTCAAAATATTTCATGCTGTAAAAACTTCCAAAAAGCAATGTAGTCTTTGTTCCTCAAGAAATTTGCCGGTCGCTACACATATTACATCATAGATGTTACTGGCTACCTGCTCCTAATGCATGTCAAATATTATTTCAAAGGTGACCGTTTTTATACTCCATTTGACTGCAAATGAAACATAAACTGATACAGACACTGACGGATATGGTCACAGATTATTGGTGGGATGCCGCTCGATAACCACGTAGATATTTGCTCACTAAGATGTATAAAAAATGACATTGAGATGCCGTACTTATTTTAACAAAGTATGGTTCCAGTAAATTTAGCGAAGTATAGCGCTATCCACCAATTAAAAAGTAGTTTTTATTTTCTTTGAACTGAATTCATATGATCGTTGCTGTGTAACAATCCAAGTTACTGCGCCTCAATATCAACACAACAAGTAATAAAGTAGTAAGATGAAAGATAAAGAGAGAAAAACCGGTCAGAAGCAATATAAAGTAGCAAACTAGAGGAAAAAGGAGTAGGAAAATGCTTAATTTACTGTGACGATTGAGATTAAGATAATGTTTATTTGCATCCGCGTAACTGACATCAATTCTGGGCCATATCACCTACAGCATCCAGCCGTTGGTGTCTGTTGTCCCATGGTTCCCAACCGAATAGCCTGAATCTCCCTGTATCGCTTACAACAACAGTCAACGACTTCATGGGGTGACTTCATCCGTTAGACCGGCTACTCCAAGCTTTCCTTCGAGCCAGAACATTCTTCACCCAACATCGCGCGATGAGGCAGACGGTTCATGTGACCGCAATAAAATCAGATACGAAAACTTTTCAACCCAAAAACAAAAAGTATTCCAGTGATTCACCGTATTTTTACAAAACTAACTAAGCGACTAAGTTAGTCATTCACGATTATATAGAAGCTATTGCACCTCATATTTTATGACATATAACAAAGGGTGGAATGAAAACATTCCCTATTTTGGTATTTGCATTTCCCAGTGAATGTAAAACAAAATAAATTTGTTTCATCTGACGTTTCGCTATTTTATGCTAATAGCTTTATCAAAGTTCTGGTAAACCGAAATTTACAATATCCAAGCTTATATACGATAACTTGACAAGTGTTTTTCTGCATGAATGATTCCGCGTTGTCGGAAGTATAGAATAAAGATGATATCCGTATATAGTGTGTTGTGTGTGAATTACAGATTGGGATTTGTACGTACACATGTATTGACAGTTCTTATTGCATGTATGATACTTATGTCAGTATGTAGGTTGAGACCAGGTCAAACTACGTTTTACTCCTTCCTATTTAGACAATTATGGTTCCACTTAATGTGAAAAGATTCTACTAAGAGATGTCTTTTATAATCTCTGAAGCCTTTCTGAATAATTTTGACATTGTCAAAATCTACCTTGTGATCTGAAATTATGGCATGTAGAACTATAGCTAATGTGTTTTTAAGTTTTTTCAGTTCCACTGGACTTCTAGAGGGTTGGGTATAAGCATTTCCTTATTCATTTTCCTAATTTTGGTTTCATGGGAAAACATTCCCTGCATAAAACTCCAATCAGTACGCTATCCACATCTGTTTCTATATGGTTGCATACTGCGTCGAATGAAGAACTTAACAGGATTTGTTTGTCTACATCTCCTAAACCGAATAAACGTCAATAATTAAAAAGATTCAGTTTGTTTATTTTTCATCTGTAGAATACTAGATAAGTGCCACTTGGTAGGGGGTTGACTGCAGTAAAAGTACAAATGACTCTTCCACTTGCTAAAAAAAAGCAAATGAGGTTTTGTTCTGAGTTAAATACCATCTGAATCATTATCTCAATCGCTTATGTATGGCCTGCTAAGCATGATCCAAGATATTTCTACATATTTTATACATTTATTTCATATGAAGTTGTAAGATAATGCCTTATAGCCAAAATGATCACGTCAATATAAGTAAAGATCTTTTGAACTTTCACCTCACCATAAGATTAATATTTGTTTCAAAGAAATAATGGGGAGTAAAGAGGAGAAAGAATCCTTCGTTTCACACTACTTATTTGGGAGATAATTCAGGAATGAACTTTTAGTGTAGAGTACATACGACACTAACAAAATAAAATAAATCCTAATGAAATTATTATTTGGTAGTAAAGAGTGACCCCAGCAACTCCAGGAATAACCACTCAAGTTTGGCTATTCGGCTGGTTAGGTACTTTTGAATGATAATAATAACAATAATACTAAAGAAACGTAAGTTGTTATCTCAGCAGTTGTTGGAGTGGCTTTTAAAGTCGTTCATAGTAGGTGTCAGCTTTTACATGTTAGTACTAGTGATGGGCCAACTTACTAAAACCCCTGGAATACAAATTTTGAAATCACTTACTGAAAACTGTTGTGGGTAGAGGTAGGAAACTAAGCAATTACTTCGTAAATATCTGTAGTTTAATTTAAAGACCAATAAAATTTAACTACTGACCACATTTATCGATGTATGACCACAACTAGAATATAAGCGATCGTTCAAATTTCACTCTTCGATGATAAGAAAAATTCCACTACATAAAAGTGAGAGTCACCATGTAAAACAACTGCTTCATACTTAAAACTTTAAATTGTTAAACTAACTGCTTACCGAAATAGTTTAAACATAATTTCCGTTGTTTCAGTTGCACATGTGCACATCCTGACCATATAGAACCCGACCCATTTGTTCTGCTTTACCTTGTTTTTCTATATCACTTCTTATAAGCCATCAACAACAGATAACGAAAAACAGGTGATGCTGCACTAAATTTTAAGTAGTACAGATGAAAATAATGCATTGCTCCAGTTAACCAGATTAAACGAAAACGCAATGTAAGGAACCCAAGATTAACTTAAATAAGCAAAAGCAAATACAAAAACATGCTATGGTATGAAGCTGTGACTGATATATAAAAGCAGTCAACTTTTACCCATTGAGTCAGAACCTTTATAAAACCTGCTACATAAATATCAATCTTGTCATGTAATAGGTATAACTCATGGACTATTATACGAATCTGCACAAGGAGATAAACGAATCCCCTTTAAGTATGTCAACTCATCTACTCCAAAATTTGTTAGATAACCAATATTTCTTCATGAAATCCTATAGATGTGATCATAATTAGAATTATCGTGACTATCTCCATAATTACTGCATTCTTTTTTTATTTCATCATTTTCATTTAATTTGGAACTTTACATTAGACCACACCGACTATTTATAGCTACCGAATAGCGAGAGAAACAATAAATGTGCTTTATTCCACAGCCTTGTCTTTTATCACCTTTAGAAGTAAAACTAAAAAATTGTTGGATCCTCAATATCTAGTATCCAAACACAGGAGTCTTGACTC